TGTTTATGTCTTTCTGAATGTTCAATTCCTTAATTTGTACATATATTAAAATAATTTTATAAATAATTTGTACAGTAATAATAATTTGAATCTTAATTGAAATAACTAATAATTTTATAAATAATGTATTTTTAACGTTTTCGCAATTCAGTTCTGTGAACTGCCAGAAATGTTCTTTTAATGTATTTTGACTTTGTTTATGAATAAAGATACCTTGATATACAGTACCATATAAATAATAAATATCCGATTTTTTATTATTCATATTATTATTTATTAGTCTTAGTATTATAATTTTAATAATAGTAATTTAAAAAGTTGTTATTGGCGTTTTATTAGTATTTTTCTCATATTATTATTAATATTATTGTTGTCACCTTTATTATCGATATTATTACCCTATTACAGTATTACTAAGTAGGCCTAGTATTATAAGTATCATTATTATTATTATTACTAATTAGTATTACTATTATTATAAAAATAAACATTATCTTATATATATTATTGTTGTGTTATTGCTATTATCACCTTCAATATCGTTATTATCACTAATTAGTTATTAAAATTGATATTTAAATATCGTTATTATTACCATACTAGTATTATTACTATTTGTTAAAATAAATATTACTATTAATGTTGTTGTTGTTATTATCCCCTTTATTATCGTCATAATGACTAATTAGTATTATTAATGTAAATATTACTAATTTGTTGTCGTTATTGTTGTTTAATATTATTGTTGAAGTAGAATGTTGTGAGTAAACAGAAGACGAACACATTGATAAATAACTCTTTTTAATTCATAGGCAATAGCATTCAAATCTCTTTTGGTAGTGTGGTGGTCCTGTTTTACTAAAACATACTGTGTACTTTATTTCAATCATATATTGAAGAAAAATGATGCAAAAACTTAGATTTACATTAAATAACTTGTGGCCGAGTTGATTTGTGGGCAAGTTGACTTGTGGCCGAGTTGGCTGTAGCCGAACTTTTTGTGGCCGAGTTGACTTGTGGCCGAGTTCACCTGCACCCATAATTCTGTATCTAAATGAACGAGGAGCAAACCTAGCTAGTCAACATCTAGGCTAGGCTAATTAATTATCTAAATGAACGAGGAGCAAACCTAGCTAGTCAACATCTAGGCTAGGCTAATTAATTTTAAAATCAATAACCCACCAGGACTATCTGTCGTTTTCTTCTTTGCAACAGCGGACGAAAAAAAGTCAGTTATTCTACAACGTTTCATGATTCTTTATCACTAAAAATTAAACAATTGTTTTGACGCACTCCGTTCTGTAGTATAGTGCTATGATGACTGAGATGGACGTCCTATGTTGATTTATTAATAATATTTTGTTTGGGATGAAAAAAGGGAGAGTCCATTTCCCCAAAATGCTCCATCAGCACATAGTTTAGTGTGTGCTATGGACAGTATGGCTATGGAATTTACTAACCACACAATCCACAATCAGGTGATTAAGTCGCAAATCTTTATCTGCATTTGGTGGATTAAGTCGCAAAACTTTAGCTTCGTTTGGTGGCACCATTTACTCTACGTAGACGGCGACCGGTTTCGTTACCGGTTGGAAAACATTCAGCAAAAGGCCAGTGAAAGTTGAGACGGCAGCCGGGTTTTTATCGATGTTTGCCATCCTTATGTGTGCCATCGTAAAGTCATGGTTTGCTGGAGTTGCGTTTTAATTTAAATCTCCCAACTTCTGAAGCTGAGATATTCTATGAATGTAGGCTTGTATCTGGCTACGGGCCTGTTACCGTACTGTACAATTTGCAAACAACATATGTACACTGTGACATGTGCAAGGAATGGTATCACTTTGACTGTGTCGAATTTCATCAGAGTCCTGGTAACAAACAAAAACCATTTTCATGCACAAACTGCCAAGATGAACAAAGCGAATCAACAGATGTCTTTCAACATAGTAGTGCTAATTCAGATTCACCTGTTCCTGATGCTGAATGTTATCCAAACGTTGATGATGAAACATTCAACATAATGCCGACCCTTGCTCAAACACACCAGCAAACAGATCACTGAAAGTAACTGGTCCCCAAACCAGTACGTTCCTAATGCTAATTGTTCACCAACGTTAATAATACGAAACATTCAACCAGTGGCGGACCGTAGGGTAAATTGCAGGGTATGCTAGGTATTGGCATAAGATGTGAGAGGGGCGCGCACACGTTCCCCCACCCCGAAAAAGAAAGTACTCCCCATCCCCAGTCGAACCCCCGCCCACAAATCATGCTCAAGTACTTAAAAATTACCTCAAACCTCATTTTGCGAGTTATCCCCTTCAGCTTTTCACCAAGCCCCCACTATTCACCTTTCCACTACCCCATCAGCTCCTTTCCATTTCAAAACCCCTACGTCACTGGTGCTAGGGCTATTACTATACAGAATCAGATTGCTTTCCAGTCGAAATTTAAAGCGACGTTCGACCACGCCCCCTTTCGTCGGGGAAATTTTCCCCCTTTCGTCGGGGACATCTTGGTCCCGCTGTCGGGAGTCCCCCTCCCGCCGTCGGGAGTCCACCACCACCAAACATGGTTGGGGCTGGTGCGAAAATTCAATATGACCTCTGGGTGCCCGAAAATTGCATTCTCATGTAACTTAAAAATCTTACGAATATTCATCTCAACAATTATTTTTCTTAATTGAATTAAGGGGAGTGCGATCGCACCCTCTGCTTTCCCTACATCGCCCCTCCCCCTCCCCACCCCAGTACTGTATTGCCAGCTACATAGTATCAATTTTCGTCGACCAATGAGTGAGATCGCCTTATCTGCCGGTTGATCCCCTTATCTGCCGGTTGCGATTTTTTTTCCGTACGAAACATTTACATGAAACTCCACTCGGGCCGTCTCGGCTGAATCGACCCGAAAATCTCATTGCAGAATTCAGGAGGTCAAAAGGTCATCAACAGATAAACGTCTACA